AATGTAAAATTGATGCACGTGTTTTACATTTATTATTATTATTATACGTGGGGGGGGTTTCACCATATATAGGTTTTACTATTGCACTTATAAGTCCATTTGTACAATTTTATAGAAGGCATGCAGGGTTGCACTGCATATTTTACTTTTTATTGATATACAGAGCACATACTGATCACCATTTACAGGGGGCGCACTAACCACCATTATGCACATGCACACTGACCACTAATGTAAGGGGGCACGAAGATTATTGGCCACCAATGTAAGGAGTACACTGAGGAACTAATGTTCTACATAGTCATGACTCCCACACTCTATATGCCAAATAGTGCTGACCTCTTCACTCTGTATGCTATGTTGTATGTTGCACATTGAAGGGGGTACACTGATTGCTATACTGCTGGGCGGTTTATTATTGTACATTGTTGGGGGTTAATTACTGTGTTGTGCTGAGGGTTTATTACTGTGTTATACTGGGGGTTTACTTCTGTGTAGTGCTGGGGGTTTATTATTTTGTTATGCTGGGTGTTTATCACGGTGTTGTGTTGGGGGTTAATTGTTGTGAAGTGTTGTGAGTTAATTATCATGCAATGTTGTGGGATAATTATGTACAACATTTTTGGGGTTCATTATTGCAGCATTTGGAGGTTAATTATTGTGCAATGTTGGGTTTTAATTGTTGTGCAATGTTGAGGGTTATTTGTTGTTCGGTGTTGGAGTGAACTGTTGTGCAATGCTGGGGGTTAAACATTGTGCAATGCTGGGGTTAATTACTGTGCCATGCAGAGGGTGAAGTATTAAACTATGCCCTGGTTAGATACTGTGCTGTGATAGGGGTTCATTTCTGTGTTCTACTGTGGATTAATTATTGTGGAATTCTGGGAGGTAATTATTTTGCTGTGCTTGGGTTATTGTTGAATTTAACACAAGGTGGGAGTTATAATTTCTGGCCTCAGCTGGGTTTATTTTAATCCCACAGTCTCCTCAATTCAATCTCTGGTCTTATTTGGTCTACACAAAGAGAGAAAAGTGTTACATTACAAGTCATCTACTTGCTGGCTACAACCACTTGCTGGCCGTACCCACAGGTGCATGGTAGGTGGCATGCTTCGCGTGTCGCATTAGCACCCCTACTCCTACTTCCAGCACCAGCATAGCACCCCCAAAACATTTTGTCTGGAGCCACCCCTTGTCCTAGGATAATAAATTGTTAAAAGACAAACCATTCTCTCCTTCTCCCAGGTTATGGTTTTCTTACACGGCGGGGGGCTGGTAATGGGGACCGCCGCTATGCATGATGGCTCCGCAATCAGTGCTCATGAAAACGTGGTGTATGTGGTGATCCAGTACAGATTAGGAATTCTGGGATTCCTCAGGTAGGTCATAGTACATGGGACTTCAATCAATGTATTTACTTACTTGTATAGACTGCATAGCACTGATCTGCACTGTAGGGGGAAGAAATACAGAATGAACAAACAGCATGTAATCAGAGAACAAATATTCTCCTCACACCCTGTTGGCTGGCCTCATTATCATTCACTCCGAGCACTGAGCTGTAGTTCCTCCTCCTTCTTCCTCATTTTACATTGTATCTGAGAGAGCACAACAGGAGGTTCTAAATGTTGCAGAGAAATGTAACGTGTGTAAATGTTATGATTTCATTTTCATCTGTATCCCAGCACCGGAGATGAGCAGGCAGCCTCTGGAAATTACGGACTATTGGACCAGGTCGCAGCTCTGCGTTGGGTTCAGCAGAGCATTAAGGATTTCGGAGGTGACCCCGGATCTGTCACTATATTCGGGGAGTCAGCAGGCGGAATCAGCGTCTCTGCACTGGTAAGCTCTCCTGGTAACTGCTGGAATTTATCAAACATTCATCATTTCTGTAGGCCAGTTCTATAGGAATAACCCATCACTTCAGAATTCCTGTGAAGAAAAACAGACATATACAGTATAAAGAAAAGAAATACGTATTTCAAAAGTCCAAAGAAACTTTAAAAAACCCTCTTTAGGGGATAAGGTCCCAAGTGTTTCCATAAAACTAACCAAATACATAAAGAAAAAAATGAATCGATTCCTCCATGACCCACAGTGTGGATGGACTAATCTTCCGCTGCAGCTATTGTACCACCAGCTGTCAAAAAACCTGAATAATGCCTGCACTTGATTGAATGCAGATGCTGTTTGGCTGACAGTTTTCTGCCCTTCTCCTTTGAGTTTTTTAACTAAGGGATACTGGGTGGGAGATGGACAATAGGGCCAACCACTGAGTAGATTTTGGCCAGTTTATCAGGAACTGGACAAAATTGGCTCCTTGTATGGCCAAGTCATTAACATTGAGCTTTGTTTCCTCAGAGTTGGCTAATTGAAAAAATGTTATCTTGTAGCTGTATATTTGCAACAATTTAAGGAAAATATAGTTTGACCAGTTTGGTGAGGAGGAACTTGAGTGTCTTGCACAGAGCCCTGACCAGGGGCGGACTGAATACTCATGGGGCCCTTGGGCAATAGGAGATCATGGGGCCCCTGTGTCCTTGCCCAAACTCAAAAAAGCCTATGAAAAAGGTACCAGGGGCATCTCATGGGGCCCCCTACTGACCCCGGGCCCTCAAGCAGTGCCTGAGTTTCCAAATGGTCAGTCCGCCTCTGGCCCTGGTCTCAAACCTACTGAACACCTTTGGGATGAATTAGATTGTAACTCAACTGTGAGCCAGGCCTTCTCATCCAACAACAGTACCTGACCTCATAAATGGACAAATTCTCACAAACACACTCCAACATTTTTTTGGAAAGCCTTCCCAGAAAAGTAAAGGCTGTCATAGCTGCAAAGGGCGCAACTCCATATTAACGGTCATGGTTTTGGAATGTGACATCCAACAAGCTCACATAGGTTTGATGGATGGAGGTACAGGAGTGTCCTGCACAGAGCCCTGTAATGATGAATTGGAACACAGATTTTGGTCCAGGTCTTCTCATCCAACATCAATACCCGAGCTCACAAATGGGCACAAAATCTCACAGACACTTTCCAAAATCTTGTGAAAAGTCTTCCCAGAAGAGTATAGGCTGCTATGACCAAAGGGCCTTTGACCAGTTTGGTGTGGAGGAACTGGAGTGTCCTGCAGAGAGCCCTGACCTCAACCCTACTGAACACCTTTGGGATGAATTGGAATGCCAGTTGTGAGCCAGGTCTTCTCATTCAATAGGATGTGCAACATATTTACAGCATATATGTGTGATGGTCAGGTATCCATGGGCATTTGGTCATATAGTGTAACGGTTGATACTTACTTAATAAGTGATTGTGGATTACACAATTATGCATCAACAACTTTGCAAGGATTTAGTGGTACGTTAGTTTGACAAAGCCAGCTCCATAGTCCAAGACATGGAGTGACCAGTTTGGTGTGGAGGAACCTGAGTTTCCTGCACAGAGCCCTGACCTCAACTCTACTGAAAATCTTTGAGATGAATTGTACCGTGCATTGTGAGCCAGGTCTTCTGCTCCAACATCAGTACCTGATCTCACAAATGTACACAAAGGCACCCTGCAAAAATTTGTGGAATGATTTCTCAGAAGAGTGGAGGATGTTATAACCACAAAAGGCAACTGCATAATAATGTCTAGAGGGGGCAACTCCATATTATTGGTCGTGCAGGATTCCATATTAATGGCCAATGAAGGGGGGGGGGGGGTCTCCATAATAATGGCTGTGGGGCTGGGGACAGTGCCAAATAATGGTCATGGTTTTGGAATGGGATGACCACCAACCTCCTATATGTGTAATGATTAGGTGTCTTTTTTTGGCCATGTAGTCTACTTAGTGACTACAAGCTCTGGCAGGTAAGTCTTGCTGGGTCTTGTAATTCTCCAGGATGAATGCAGCAATGGAGTAAAAGCAGTCATAATGTGAAGATTTTAAAAATGAACGCCTATCTATTCTGTGATTTCAGGTACTGTCCCCATTGGCCCAGGGTTTGTTTCATCGTGCCATCTCACAGAGCGGAGTGGCCATAATGACGGGGTTCATGGTCAGCTCACCAAAGGAGCTAATTTTCTATACAGATGTAAGTAATTTCCCTTTTGTGTTGAACATATACAATGAAACATGATAAGGACCTATTCAAAGTGAATAAGCTGCTTGAATGTAATGGGATGGAATTACTAAAGGCAAATAGACTGTGCACCTTGCAAGTGCAGTTGCACTCATTTTCCCCAGAGCTTAGTGAATGTGGTAAAGCTCTGCTGGTTTTCTATCCTCCAATCATGTGCAAGCAAAAATAATGTTTTTTATTTACCCCGATTGGTTAATCTTTACAAAGTAAAGCTTTACCACATTTATATTTACTATGGAAAATGAGTGCAACTGTACTTGCAAAGTACACAGTCTATTTGCCTTTAGTAAATCCACCTCAGTGTGTTCCAACACACAAAATACGCATTAATGCCCATATAGGTTGGAATGGATCCTAAGAAGCTGAGGGCTCACTCTACCAGGCTGCACGTAAAACTAAATATCGCTTCTAGGTGATTGCATGTTTAGGAAGTGTACACCAACCTAATCCCCAGCCTTGTGTCTGGTCCGGTACTGCTCAGAGGATTCTGGGTACTGGTGAATTTTTTTTCAGGGCACTAGGACAAGATAGCAGCAACAATAATAAAAGATGGAGGACAGAAATGTAATGATTCCTCCTAAACTCTGGGTTTCCTTTGCAGATGGTAGCTAATATATCTGGATGTGAGCCATCCTCTCTGGTGAACTGTCTACGGATGAAGTCTGAGCAAGAGATCTCTTCTATTATGTCCAACTCGGTATGTTTCCTGAACTTCTCCACCTTTTATATTAAATCTAGATTTATGGTCTGCAGGGAAATTGGGGGCCTGTTGAACCTTCCCAACCTGTCCTGTGCGGACTTCATAGAACATTATGTACTTCTGAGGTCAGCTTTTACGTAACAGGTTCTCCATGTTCACATTTGTTGCCCCTTTGCAGAATTTCTTGCCAATACCAGCCTGTGTGGATGGAGTTTTCCTGCCTAAACCTGCAGAAGAGATATTGGCTGCCAAAGAAAACAACAAAGTGCCATTTATCATCGGCGTGACGGAGCAGGAATATGGCTGGATTGCCTCACAGGTAGGAAACCCACCAAGGTAAGTTGGCAGCAGGGGCGAACTGACCATTTGGAAACTCAGGCACTGCCTGAGGGCTCCGGGTCAGTTGGGGGCCCATGAGATGCCCCCTGGTACCTTTTTCATAGGATTTTTTGAGTTTGGGCAAGGACACAGGGGCCCCTTGATCCCCTATTGCCCGGGGGCCCCATGAGTTGTCAGTCCGCCCCTGGTTGGCAGAGAACAACCTACTTCTAATGGCAATATAATAAAATATCTTAGTCCTCAGTCAGTTCCTGCCTCTACCTGCATTCTTTGAGTGATCGCTAAGGCAGGCCATAGACAAGCAGAAAAACTAATGATCTGTCAAACGAAAATCAAAATTTTTGATTTTTCATACGGTTGTGCCACCAATCATTTCGGGACTTTCCCTGCAAAAACAAATTTTTTTTCTTAACCTGCGGAATCATACAATGTATTTTGACCTATTCCAGCATGTTTGATCTGTCATTTTTGATGGCAGCACAAAAATCAGCTGTTGCTGGCAGCACACTAATGTTTCAAAAATTGAACAATCTTTCTTTAGACATGAAATTTTGTTAGTTTTTTTTGACTCATGTATGGCCTGCTTAACTCAGAGGAATGAGTCTAAAAATCTTTATCTGGCCAGTGAATCTCGGATGTGCTTAACATGAATTGCAGAGATTCTCAGGCAGAACTGAAAACCTCCGCAACCAATTTAAAGTGTTTTCCTGGGAAAAAACACATTTTCAGTACATCTTTGCAATACAAGCACATTTCTCATGTTTTGAGTCAGTGAGTTTTACAGAAAAGAAGCAAAAACAGGAGAAATCCAGGTGATATGAAATAGAGTGAGTTTCATAGAATAGGAGCAACACAGGAAAAACCCTGAGGATTATAGTGGAAGTTAGTGAGTTCCACAGAATTGGTGCAGCAAGGGAGAAATCCTGCAGATGGTAGCAGAAGGTGGCGAGTTCCATAGAATAGGTGAAGCACATGAGACATCCTAGAGATAATAGTGGAAGTTGGTGAGTTCCAAAAAATAAGTGAAGCCCAGGAGAAACCCTTAGGATCATAAAGGAAGATGGTGAGTTCCACAGAATAGGCGCAGCATGGGAAAAATCCTGCAGATCATAGAGGAAGATGATGAGCTCCATAGTGCCGGTGAAGCACAGTAGAAATCTTGGAGATGATAGTGGAAGGTGGTGAGTTGTATAAAATAGGTTCGGTAAAGGAGAAATCCTGGAGATCATAGAGGAAGGTGGTGATTTCTGCAGAACAAGTGCAGCAAAGGCTTTGTTCATTGAGAGTCTACGAGATACTAGTGGTGAGGTTGTGGCAAAGAAGAATGTCAGGTTGTGGGTATACTGAAGACCACAGGTGGCTAGAGATAAGAAACAAAAAGTAAGATGGTGGAACCGTATGAAGGGCATTGTCAGTGGGTTTGAAAATTTTGGAGTTTGCTTTCTGTGAGGAGGACAGTTAATGGGGTGACTGGAGAGGAACAGAATAGATTTCTTGAGGTAAAGAGCAGCTTTAGTAATCTATGTGTTTTTGGACAGGGTCTTGGAGCTGGTTACTTGAACATGCTACCGAAGGAATCGATCCAATCGGAGATGAGACGTTCTCCATTTCTGGTAAGGCTGCTGGGACTTTGGAAGTCTAATGGATGTTGCGTGCTTAAGGATCTCTCCCCACCAGATATACATACATGGAGCCTTTTTTCTCCCCAGTGTCTGGGCTGCAAGAAACCCAAGGTGGTGGTGGTGGGAATGCTGGTGGTGGAGAGGGGCAGGGCTAGGGACTATTGTCAGAAAATTTCCCCATTGTCGTCAATATAGGATATTAAAAGTCCACTAGACTCCACCTTTAGTTTATGTGCAATGATGTTTTAATGTAAACCTCCCCTACCCCTTACATGGAGCTCATAAAATACCCCACAATGCACATTGTGACAGTTTGGAAAATGCTCACCACACACATTAGAACCTGACAGGACAGTCTCATTTAGATTGTCCTGGGTCATGACCTGGGATCAACTTTATTTGAGTTACTGCCCAGACGCAGTAACAAAAAGGCATTAAGTGTGTTAACTGGGGCCATGACTGGGCAATTCCAACATATATAGAAGTGGGATTTGGGTGTGCATGCATGGGTGGTCACCATCTATTTAGAAGGATGTCTGGCCAGGACCAATCATATAGTGTCCAAGATTTGAGTGTAACCACTCGGAAAGCAGAAGGATGAGATTCATACCATGATACCATACCAGGATCTGTGACCATAATGTTGTAAGTATGCATTAATTATGTAGTGTAAAGGCCTAACTGACTGGTTAGTAGTAGTTACTCAGATTCAACTGAAATTGTTCCGTAATGTTGAAGATGTTCTGTAGCTTCTTCAAGCCTTTCCTTCAGTTCTGATGAGTGTCAGGAACATAAACCAGTATTTATATCCACACAGACCAGTATGCACTATTTGACACCCTCCAGCCTCTGGAACACAAACTGGGAGTCATTAGAACTCTGCAATAACTGGCTAAGACAGTAAAAACAAACATGGTGTCATGTACTTGGTCTTGAGGCCAAGATGATGAGGGGGCTCCCCTTGCAGAGTGCACAACACCCCTAAGGATGGTAACAGGAGGGACTGAGCCCAAAGCAGCACGGGTTTCCAGCCGTATTGTACCCAAACACGTCTGCAGCAATAAATGAATGAAAGCTTGGCACTGGAACCAGCTGTTCCCGGGTGACACATTGGAATGTACAGGCAGATCCAGGGGCGGACTGACAACTCATGGGGCCTCTGGGCAATAGGGGATCATGGGGCCCCTGTGTCCTTGCCCAAACTCAAAAAAGCCTATGAAAAAGGTACCAGGGGCATCTCATGGGGCCCCCTACTGACCCCGGGCCCTCGGGCAGTGCGCGAGTTTCCAAATGGTCAGTCTGCCCCTGGGCAGATCACAGCAGGCAGGGCTAGGCAGGAAACGGGATCAGGAACAAAAGCCAAGGTCAGAGCACATGTCAGCAGAGGAGCAAACAGAAATGTGGTCAGAGACAGGCTGGGGTCATACACAGGAATCAGGCAGGAACAGGTTTGTGGAACAAGCCAAGATTAGAGCCAAGAGAGAAGCAAGGGGTAGTCCAGAAGCAAGCAGGGTCGGTAACAGGGAATCCAGAAGTACTGAGCACACAGGAGCATGGGATACAGGGAGCTGAAGACCAATCAGCAAAGTCTGAGAGTATCTGTCACCCTTACAAAATGCCAGAGGGTGCCAAGTTCTGTTGTGCGCAGTCTGATGAATATTCCTGCGCAAGTGAGCGTGGCTATGCTGGATGTTGGCAAATGTGCCAGGTCTCTGCGTATTCCTTTTCTGGGTTACCCCCTGACACTCGGAGTCTAAAGACAAAGAACACTGATATCTCAGGGGAGATTGGAAAGTTTGTGGATCCACAGACTTTGACTTCCATTAAAACAGAACTCCAGGATTAGCCTCCTAACCTGAGTTTAGCGTCAACAATGTGTTTTTTGGACCAGAACTAATGGAAAAAAAATAACTGGAGTTCTACTAAGAAGCGTTGACAAGGTCACTCAAAAATAGAAGACGAAGGGGAGAAGCAGAGCACTACAGAGTAATATAGTCATCCCATATGTAGCTGGAGTGTTGGAAAAACTCAGAAGGATCTTTAACAAACATCTCATCTACCTCAGTGGAACAACCTTCCCTGAGCACCATCTGTCTTCCATTCTGACAACAGTTAACCCCTTCAGCCATATGAATAGAATTACCAACACCTATGCAGACTCTCTGACACCATGGATGGGATGATGCAGCTGGAACAGGAGGTTCCACAACTTTCATACCTTCCATCCTGTCCTCGGACAATCAACATCTGCATTGACATATTTCCTGATGATTGGATGAAGGTGTTGGTGCTACCTGCGTGGATTTAAATCGTTGGTTATCTTGTGGACACTCATTAGAACTGGAGATGTGTCTTGGAGAAGCTATGGTCATCTACTACTATCCACACCAGGGGCGGACTGACCATTTGGAAACTCGGGCACTGCCCGGAGGGCCCGGGGTCAGTAGGGGGCCCCATGAGATGCCCCTGGTACCTTTTTCATAGGCTTTTTTTAGTTTGGGCAAGGACACAGGGGCCCCATGATTCCCTATTGCCCAGGGGCCCCATGAGTTGTCAGTCTGCCTCTGATCCACACTATGATATGGGTAAACAAGAGCCTTCATGAGTCTAAAGAAAAGATTGCAGAGAGATTGTAGGGTCAGATTGTATTGTGTATGATGAGCATTAGACATGTAGCTGGGAGCCTGGGAGGGTGAGAGTCGTAAATCTGAATCTGATTTGGCATTTGCTGTGTGTGCAGGGTTCTGTCTCCAGACTGGATTACACATTGTTGGATGAATACTTTGGGAACACGGACGACCCTCTGGAAAACCGAGATCACTTTCTAGACTTGCAAGGCGATGTCGTGTTTGTCATGCCGTCACTAAAGATAGCAAAACTTCACAGAGGTGTGAGGCTCCAGATACCTCTTCATGGCCCTCGTTTTGATTGTTATAGAAGAACTTCACTGAGCACTGTTTATATTTAAAATGAGCACGTAATATTAATCCAATAGTGTTTCGAAAAATCAGCTATCTTGTTCCTATTCCTCTAACAGTCAGACGCATGTGAAGGAATTCATAATATTGGGACCTGTATGTAGTCACTTCCCTTCAGCATGCCTTGTGTGTTGGTCAGAGCCAGGTAAAAAAAAAGCTGAGCTCTCAGAATGAGGGAGCTGTGATGGTTCTGCTGTGTCATCAACAGAGTTCCTGGAAATGATTGAAAACTGTTCACATTCTGCAAGTGGCCATGTCGTCACTCACTGTATTCATTCCTCTAAGGCTGGCAGTGGAATGTCCACCCAGATCCCAAGAAATAGAAGTGTCAGAAAACAACTTTCTGTGTTCCTCCCCAGCCACCAACCAGAGTCTTTATTACTGATAGCTGGAAACC